AGTTTTTATTAAAAAAATTAAACTTTTTAATAAAAACACAGGCAAATTTGTCTGTGTTACAATTTAAGGGATAATGTAGTTTAGATCTAGAAGTATTGGCGGAATAATTATTAGGAACTTTGTTTAATTCTAAATTATAAAATAATTATTAACATATAACAAATTAATTAAAAATATAGCAAGTCATATAAAAACTATCAAATACATTACCAGATTCATGATTACTATCAGCATTATCATTATTGCTATTAGTAGTCCCTTCAAAAATTATATGAATAAAACATTAGTAAAAATCTTAAATAATTTTTATTAGAAACATTAAAAATTGTACCAGATATGATATTAAGATTGATACCAGGAGAACTTTTACTACGAATTGTTTTGGAAGCATCAATATTAATAACAGGGGCAGCAGAGTGATTATTTGCATCAGAACGATTAGTATCAGGGGCAGCAGAATAATTATTTTTGGGGGCATCAGAACGATTAGTATTGGGAGCAGCATAGTGGTTAGTATCAGGAGCAGAATAATGATTAGCATTGGGAGCAGCATATCGATTAGTATCGGGGGCAGCATTAGTATCGGGAGCAACAGCACCAAATCCAGACCCAGAATATGTATCGGGAGCAGAACCAGATAGAGCAGAACCAGACAGGGCAGAACCAGATACAAAATGTGTATCGGAGGCAATAGCACCAGACTCTAAATAATTATCAGAGTCACCACCAGCACCGGGAGAATTTATAACAGGACCAAGTAAAACAGCAGGAACGTAGTTGCATGAAATACACTAGCTGGAAGCCCTAGCTGGTGGTGTTAAGTTATCATCGATATCAGTTTCCCAGCGATTCCATTTTAGCTTATTATAATTTTGTACTAGCGAAGTATCTTTGCATAGCAACAAAATTTGCTTTAACTAAAAAGTATATAAAGCATATTAGTACTGGTATCAATATAAATATAAATTATCTATTGTAATAATTACTTTTTTTGACCACCATCCTTTTTTTATGACCTTCACCACATGATTATTGCGGTTGTCATCAAGAGAATATTGAATTCTTTTCCTTCTTTTATCATCGGCAAGTTCATCATCCGTTTCTGATATCTTATCGCTATGTTACCCACTTTTGGCCACAATTTTTTTTATGTCATTCAGAGCTTGATGCTCTGAAATATCATGTGGGAGAAGGTTTTTTAGTTGTTCGCTTTTACTTTGGTGAAGGTAGGTGAACTCCTTTTTCCTCCGATTGATTTTCTGAAAATATATTTGAAATTTTACCAATAGTGATATAGTTAGTACATTAATACAATGAAAACAAAAAATTCTTACTGCTGTCATTCTTTGTTGTTCTCTATTTTTTTTACGTTCCTGCTTTTCTTTTTTAGATTCTGCTGCACCAAGTATTTTTCTCGTTGGTGCGGTGGCGCTCCTTTATAATTTTTAATATTTGGGTATCACTAGCATAATACCTTTGAACATCTCTTTTGATAATTTTAAATGAGTTCCGAAGGAACTCTTGTTTAAAATCTATTCACAATTTCTTGGAGTCTGGTTGCATCGGCTCATCGAGCTCTTCAATGGATATTATAATATTATTTTATTATAATAAATTAAAATAAATTAATAAAAATATATGGAAACAACCAATAACTATATAAGCGAGAAATCAATAAATCAAAAATATATAAAACACCCAATATTCATATATACATATAGATGATAAATTCAATAAATCAAAATATATGAAAACACCCGATATCTTTATTTGCTAATGAAAAATGAAAATAATCTGATATTTGTACATACTCTTAACAACTTTTTTGTTTTAGGTGACAATTCCCTACAACTTCTTTTTGAGGCTCTTCTTGTTTTTCTGCCTCTTCTTTTGTTGCTGTGGTGGTTGTCATTATTGTTGCTGCTATCATTGCTGTTGTCATTGCTGTTATCGTTGCTGCTGTCATTGCTGTTGTAGTTGCTGTTGTTATTATTGCTACTGCTGCTATCTTGTTTCTGGGTCTTTTTTCTAGAATTTTTAATAAATTTATCGATTTTACTTCTCAGATTTTTTATCTCATTTCTTAATGCTTTTATTTCATCTATAATAAAAAACAAAAAAAAAAAGTCAAAGCTATCCAAAGCCATTTACTTAACAAAAAAAAACGTAGAGTTACACTTAACATGAACATGCATATGTACTACAAATTTATACCCGATATGTAATCTGTTACCTTTATCAGATGATTCGC